AATATCGTAGCCGTTTAAAAAAAGATGATTCTAAAAATTTGAACAATGAATTTTGAACGAAACGACAATATTTCAATAATCGATTTCAAGTAACCGAAAATAATACTTTTAAATAGTGAACTTTTAACGTAGAAATAATTTTTTTACAATATAAAACTGTTGGAAACTGGAAAGACTCGTGAAAGTCGTTTATGCAAATCTATCTCCATCAATAAACAAAAGTTCGACAAAAATTTTAAAACTCATCTCACTCTGGATAGATAGATGGATAAAGAAGAGGAAAGTTGGACACATTTGCACGTTCTAACAATGATAAATTTCGAAACTTTGATCGATCAAGTTCGACTATAAACCTTCGATTCGAGAAACGTGTCATACATATAAAGTGGTGCTTAATCATATCTCTGTAAACATACATCCGAAAGAAGAACGTGTGTGAAGGAAGGAAATAATCTTAAGAAAAAAAAAAAAAAATCTATTCTATTTTTCACGTGCGTCGTAAAATCCTTATTAAAAGAAAGAAGGTCACGAAGGAATATCTCTGTCACGTGTCTTTCATAAACAGTATAATGCAGTTTAATTAGTATTCCGCTTTATACGAAATCGTGGTACGGAAGGAGGGAGGGCTTTACTCAGAATTCATACAAATGTGATTGTGCCCCAGTTTATACTGATCGTATTATTGTTTCTACAAACTGTATACAGGAGAAATTCTGTAGTATACAAGATTTAGATTATCTCGTACGAATCTTCGTGTAACGCACAAGTACCGTGCCATTTGAACAGTTTCTATATTTAGATCCCAACTATGATCCCAGAAATGAAACCAGTTAATATTTGCTCAAGATTTGTCCTCCATCGATACATACCGTCGCACCGAAATATTTATTATATTTATTATATATTTATTTATTATATTATATTATATTTATTATATAATATATTATATTATTATATTATATTATATTTATTATATATTTATTTTATAACACGAAATATCAAAGTATAATTTCAAACGAGCGGAATGAACAAACCTTTTCAAAAAAATACATTTACCTTAATGTTAAAACAACTTTTTCCATAAAGACACACCTTTTTCCAAACTTTCCTAAGAATCTCAATTTTTCAAATCCCTCTCCAAACCTCCTCGATACCGCCATTTAAAAATCGGCAAGCTGAGAGGAAGCAAAGACAGACAGGGAAAGGAGAGAAAAAAGAAAGAAGAAAAACATTAACCAGCGATAAATGTCATCGAAGGAAACAAAGCGTCTGGTTGGCCGGCTGAGAACGGCGCCGAATCGATGGAGCACGCCGGCTATCGGCGCTCTGAGAAATTTTCGGTGGAAAATCGCGCGAGCAGACACGGGGGATGCTGCGTCCGGGACCCGGTACTCCGTTATCGATCTTCCACCCGTTCCCGAGGCGGCCACACAGACGCGCCCGACGTCCGTGTGCCTCGGCCACGGGCGCACGCACAACTCCAACCCCCGTGGAAAGTACGCGGCTGCTTGTGTACTCGCGACGACCACGTTGGTTGGCGATAGGGCGATGTGTGTACAGTCGGTGGGAACGATGCACTGGTAGCGATCGCGAAGGTGTATCGTGTCGTTGAACCTCTTTTCCCATTTTTCCCAGTCGTAATAAATCGACCGCCAGATGTCGCCTTGGAGTTATGCACTCTTCGGTTCTGTGTCAAATGGATTTCTTGTTTCACGAGTTGTATTAGATTTGCGTCGAATGGTCATGTTACTTGGCAGCGGTTGAGATCGTGTATCCTCTTTTTGTATTTTTCGAATCGTAATAGATCGATCGCCAGATGTCGCCTTGGAGTTATGCACTCTTCGATTCTATGTCAAATGGATTTCTTGTTTCACGAGTTGTATTAGATTTGCGTCGAATGGTTATATTGCTTGGCAGCGGTTGAGATCGTGTGCGTATTTTTCATATTTTTCGAATCGTAATAAATCAACTACCAGATGTCGCATTGGAGTTATGCATTCTTCGATTCTGTCGTATTAGACTTCCACCGAGTGGTCATGTACCTTTTTTCGTGTTTTTCAGATCGACCGCTAGATGTCGCATTGTAGTTATGCATTCTTTGGTTTTATGTCGAATGGATTTATTGTTTCGCGAATTGTATTAGATTTGCGTCGAGTACCTTTTTTCATATTTTTCGGATCGACCGCCAGATGTCGCGTTGGAGTTATGCACTTTTCGGTTCTGTTGTATTAGATTAGATTTGTCGAGTGGTCACATACTTTTTTCGTGTTTTTCGGATCAACCGCCAGATGTCGCATTGGAGTTATGCACTCTTCGGTTCTATTGTATTAGATTAGATTTGCGTCGAGTATCTTTTTTCATATTTTTCGGATCGACCGCCAGATGTCGCGTTGGAGTTATGCACTCTTCGGTTCTGTTGTATTAGATTAGATTTATCAAATGATCATATACTTTTTTTCGTGTTTTTCGGATCGACCGCCAGATGTCGCGTTGGAGTTATGCACGTTTTAATTCTACCTTCTAGTCGATTAAATTGACATATAAAAGTTTTGTAAATTTGTATAATAATTTTGGAATATTATACTTTGCAGTAAGATGAAGATGATGCTAGTTTAAAACAACGATTGAAAAGTAGATTTGGGATTTAAACTTAGTAGAATAGTAGAATCGAAGAATTTTTGTATTGTCCATAAGAGAAAGATTGTTCTCCTGTAATGTATTATGTGAAATTTGATTTTTACTCTTATTTAAGATTGTTTTGAATCACGAGATGTCACGTTGGAGTTATATGCAGAGTTGCACAAAAACATATATAAATAATAGAGAACTTTTAGGTGTTGGATTTAACATCAAGCGTTAGTGAAAAGTGGACAGCTTATACATTTGTCAGGCTAAGATACATCAATGACTTCGTGCATATATCTCAGTCAAGCTGATATGGAAATGTTATTGATGATACATCGGCCCTTTCTTTTCTTTATCATGCCATACAATTTGATTGATGAGCAAAGAATCTTGCACCTTTCTTTAATTACGTACAGAAATACAGATTTTTCAATTTCTAGTGACCAGTAAGACTTTTTCTCGATATAATACTATCATGTTATCCAACTATGATTATTTAAACACTACATAACGAATAATTAACATTTAAATGATCGCGAACGAGAATCTTCGAATCAAAGAAAGTTTGTTCATAAATTTGATTCTGCATAAACGATCTGCTGCATCGTAATTAACAAAACAAAGGCTCGAATCGATGCACTATTGTTCACTATTCCACTAACTGTACGCGAATTTCGTCACGTATAGGGGACCGACCATGACCGTGTGGGCGTTCACACGTGGAAGAGAGACACGAGGATGGCGTTTATGGGGGGATGATTTGTGTTTGGCTTCGATTGAATGGGGGTGTTTGGGTTAAGGGATTAGAAGTTCGAGGGATGAAAACGGCTGAGTTAAGTGTCGTTGATATTTGTTCCTTTCGTGCTGGTAGTGGAATTAGATGAAGGAAAGAGGCGTCGCGATTTATTTTTATCGAGAAACGTGTTTTATGTTGATAACATTGCAGTAATAGGGATTAAATTTAGGGATTACGAGGGAGAGCGAACTTTTATTGAAAAATAGAACGCGACGACAACGTAAAATATATAAAAATTGCAATCTCGATGATTGGAAAGTACGTGTGGATTTGGCAAATATATTTTATTCGAAGTCGTTCGTTTATTTCGTTATATAATTCTTTCCATATTTTTTATCGAATCAATTTGTTAAAACATAAAAGAATATATTTTACACGATTATAAAACGAAACTGAATTAAATCAGTAAATATTTACAATTACGTATATATCAAAGGAATTATATTTAATCTCTTTTGTTAATATTTTAAATTTATAAAAGCATGCTTCAATAATCACTATCCTAAATATTATTGTGTAATTTTTTTCATTTAAATTTGTAAAAAGAAAGAATTCTTTTGAAAAAATATTCTTTTTATTTATTTTCATAAATAAATATTTCATTTATCGGGAATTAATTCCAAGAATTGGAATCCGCCAGTTATTTCGTTTATCATTGATGAAAAAGAATATTTCCTTCAGAATAATATTATTTTATAAAATATTTTTGTTCAAAGTGTTGTGTGAACAATATTGCATTGATAAGTTGATAAGTCGTTGATAAAACCAAACGGTATTGTGTTTTGTCCGACCTAAGCACAGTATATTCTACTTAACCAATGCAGTTACAGTGACGTGCTGTACCATTCGGTATCGTTTACGAGAGCATCCACAGATTTCCTGGGGCGCTTCACTTGTACATTTGTTGCTCTTTTACGAAGAAAAGATCGAAATCGAAATTTCTGAATTCTTAAATTTTTATCGAATCAAATATCAAAAATTCATTCCTCCCTTATTCCATTCGAATGAACAAATAACCAAAAAATCAAATATTAATTGTTTAGAAAAAATTTTTCCTTAAAAACGCAAAATCAATTTCAAATAACATAACACCATATCTACCAACGATAATCATCATCCCACGATCATACCGATTTCCAAAAAACGAGAAAAAGTCATACCAGCTACATACATCCCATTATCCCTCCACGATAATACCTTTACCCGTAATAATCCTTTCCCTCAAATCCATCCAAAAAAAAAAAAAAAGTATCAACTATCCTCCCCCCTTTCCTCCCTCCCTCATACACACACACACACACACACACACACATATAATAATTTTCATCCACACGTAAAAATCGTGTAGGCCAGAACAACACGAGACAATATCCTTCCACGAGACCTACATAATACCAACACGGGGACACGAGCTAACGGTTCCCCCTCCCCTACACGATTACACTCGGAAGCCAGTGAAAAGACGATCCACGAACAAGCGTGTATGTACGGCACGTACACGTATACGCGCACACACAAGCGTTGCACGTGTACGTTGGCAGAGCAAAGGGGCGAGAGAAATGCCGACTCGTCACGGAGAGACAGAGACTTGCACACGATGGAAGAAGATCGGAGGGAGGGGAGAGGGAGGAGGGCCTGGCGCACCAGTTTCCGCGTTCCAGCGGCGCACAAGCGCGCCACGGCTCGCACACACATACATACACACACACATACGCGCACGTAACCACGAACACGAGCGAGACCCGTGTCTCACCAGGCTGGCTTCAGTAAGCTCGGAGCTTTCGAACGGTCCAGTCGCCTTCCCCGCGCTCCGTACCTCCTCGCCTCCTTTTGTCATCCAATCGTACGTACGTACGTACGTACTATCGACATGTGCGTGACGAACATCCAGCCAATCCCGATTCGTCGTTCGCTCGCTGTATTCGCGTTGTAGCACGCGTTCTCGCGGAAGATCGGGACGTATCCTAATATATTGGCATAAAATAATATAATTTTTAAACATTCGAGTGAAAAACTTGGAGTTTTTATCGAGTTATCGCCAATGGATAAGATCGGGAACGGATGGATCAGGTTGACCGACGACCGTGCAACCTCTTCCCGTGTAACCTCTTTTAACCTATGCGTTAACCGACTCGGCTATTTCGATTATCGAGAATTGAGGAAAGAGGAGGAGGTCGATTTCTTGGTTCGATTTTAACCGTGCTTGCCAAGCAATATAAATAGACGGACGCGACTTGTGCGCGGCTTTTTTATATCCAGGATTCGATACATATGTATATATACATATATATGAATGGATAAATAAATTATCGCGTGGAGCGATGTTTTTAAATCGGGTGAAAAGTTAATTGGTGAAGTTTAGTTGGATGAAAGGGAGGACGGTGAGAGGGAGCGTGGCTTGGATAGATTGTCGCATTGGACGAGCTTAGTGTCGGGCTGGTGGCACTGTTCCGGGAGCACCGGCGGCGGGATCATGAGGAGCAGCAGGACGAGCAGCGTGCACGGTGGAACGAGGACCGCCTCGAGATCGATTCGAAGGCTGTGCGATCAGCTCGATTCTTATAACGGAAGGATAGCCAAGCGGAGGTCTGATCGAGCTTGATTTCCATTTCTTTTTTTTTCTTCTTCTTTTTTTTTTTCTCGATCTCGAATCGTTTTGCGAATCGATCGATCGTGATTCGGAAGAAAGATTAACGAAAATTAGGTAGAGTTGTAAGGAGGAGAGATAAGATTGATTTTGAAGGGGGACGTGGATGTGTTCTCAGTGAAATTTTTGAAGTGAAAGGGAAAGTGGTGTTGCGAGAGAGAAAGAAGAGGAATGATCGAGAAGTATTTAAGAACGTGTTAAAGAATTAGGGAAGAGGACGAATTTAAATTGAGATTAAAAATAATAAATGATTCGAACTCGGGTTTCCTCGAGTTTCATCGAGTTTTAAAAGCAACTGTCCCGATTGAGAAACGACTTTTCCTATCTCGTTGTCCAACTTTCCATCAATTTGGAAAAGGAAGATGTTTGACCGTTTTTAAGACGCGTTTTTAGAGACGTGTAATCCATTAAAGACCAAGAGACCAAGATTTTATCGAGCCACGACCCGACCACTTTTATTGAGACGGCGGTCGATCAAAGTCTGACCAAACACGATACTCTCTACTTAAGTTTCAATACGTTCGAGGGGAAGGTTGGCTAGCGTTTCACCGACCACGAGGTTCGAGCTATATATTCGAAGGCAAAACTATACGGGAGGTAGATATTACAACGAGACGATCTGGGAAACGTTAGAAAGAAAATTTTAATTTGAATATTCGCGTGGGGGGGAGGAGGACGTGTTGGGGAAATTACGAAGTTACGAAACTCAGAGATTAAAGTAGAGAGTTTTCTTGTAATTTGATCGTTCATTTGCCGAAAATATTTCCATTGGTCTAAATCCAAAAACGGTACCCTCCACCTGGAAAAGATTAAAAGATAAAAATTAATGAAATTTTGAAAATTTTCCCCTTTCTAATGATGAGATAAAAGAGATAAATAAATAAACGGAGCTAAAAGAGATAAATAAATAAATAAAAGGAGGGAGTTTTTTTCCCCCTTCCCTCGAATCAAAAATAAAAAAATCCACTGTTCTCCATTGTTTGTTGGACATATCGATATCCCGTGAATATCGCGAGAACCGAATAACTTTGAGAGACTTTGGAAGATGCGTTGCGGCTGATTCTTCGACAAGTTATTATTAAGGATAGTGGATGGGTGGATGCACAAACGATTAACTCTCGGTCGAGTGGAGATCCAGGGATGCAGCAAAAGCTACGGTGCGCATTTAAAGGACGCCATTGAAGAGGACGAACTCGGTCGAAGAGCGAGTCAGCGTGCCCTCTTCCATAATACAACATTAGCTTGGTGCATGCGAAATGTATCGTTTCCTCCCCCTCCCCAAACGCGCACGTGGCCCTTCTTCCAACGAAAGAAATTTTCGTCAAAATTTTCATTCAAAATGTGATTTTTTTTAATAATTAAAAAAAAAATCCCCTTTTTACTCTGGCCAGAGAATTGATTTCCGAACGACAAAACAATCGAAGTAAAAAGATAAGAAAATTTCACACGCACCAATCTATCTATAATACGCGAGAATCAGAGAGAGAGAGAGAGAGAGAGAAGGCAAAAAAATTTGAAATCGAATCGTTTGACTGAGAAAGAAAAAAAAATTAAGTTTCTTCGAGGGTATCGTTGGGTATCGGTAGGGCGTATTGGAATTGGAAAGTTAAAAAATGAAAGGGATTCTATTCTGGTGGGGCAACCGTGTTGCTTTCACGGTTGATCGGGGGGATTAATTGGAAAAGGGTAGTGGACCAAAGTGGACGTCGATTTAACGGATCGCCGCTTCGTTGCAACCCGGTTATTTTCGGGTAAAACAAACGTTGTTGAATATCGAGATCGCGCAATTTCATAATTCAACGATTTTAGACGGATGGATTTCCCGTGGGAGTACTTCTCTTCGATCCCTGGAGAGAAGAGAATGGAGGGAGGGGGTTGGGAGTTACACAAGACGCGAGATGAAATATTCTTGCAGTAAGTAAGAGGAGGGAGGAGGGAGGAGGTGAACATTTAACTTTTCGTCGAAAGGAATGAAACCCTTTGGAAAGAAAAAAATAAATGATAAATAATTTTGTTTCTTGGAAAATTTTAAATTAAATGAAATTGTAATGATTCACATTTTACTCGTCGAATTAATATATAATATTAATAGTCGTGCAGTTGGATAAATTGATCTTATTACATTGATTGTAATGTGTAAACGCGCGAATGAATCTTTCCTGACAGTGAGCTGATTTTTTAATTAAATTATTTTAAATCTAAATTGAACGATTAACATGATTTACATCCATCTAATTATAACACATGGAAAGATACTCTGTCGATAAAATTGTGTACAAAAAAGAATATTTCATGTTTACCATAGTAGTATTCTCTTCACCCTCGTTTCAAAGAGATACAATAATTATACAGTTAATTTACAATCACTTTCCCTCTCTCCATAAATTTCAGTGAGTTCCATTGAAATTGAAAGAAAAAACTTATTGAAGAGTTGCATATGCTTGATAATAAAAAAAAGAAATATTTCTCTTTTGGATGACAACAAGTCTATTAAAAAGATACTTTGCAAAATCACGACTATTTTTTTCTCTCCCCGACGAAATTCTTCTTCTTGAAATGAATTAAAATTCACACGTTAAAGAGATTAACAAGAGAAAGAAATTCTTTCAAACAGCAACAAGTCTTTCTAAATAAACTTCTCTCTAGCAAAAAAAAAAAAAATGGTTGATCACCGTTTACAATCGCCTTTCCTCTCTCTCTCTCTCTCTCTCTCTCTCTCTCTCTCTCTCTCTCTCTCTCTCTCTCTCTCTCTCTCTCCCCCTCCCCTTCTCTACGTGAATTTCACAAGCGAATTTCACGAAATACAGAAACGGTGAAAGGTTGATTTCTGTTGTCAGTGTGCGCAGAGAATCGGCGAGAAAGGCTCTCCGTGTATTTTGGACTCGAGAGGCCGTAAAGTTTTAACAAAAGCGAAGGGGTCACAATGCGAAGTGTCCTCTCACCTCGTTCTCCCGAGGGCACCGCGTGTTAGAGCAACTTGCACACCGTCGTGCTCAATGTTAATTAATTCAGACGTAAGATGATATGGAGACTGAAGACGAAGTGGACGAAGAGCTGCCGGGGGTGAAACGCACGGAGGTACGATAATCCCTCTAAAAAAAAAAAAAAAAGAAGAAAAGAAAAGAAACGGAAAGAAAGGGAAATAAATACGAGGGACGAAGGAGATATTTTTTTAATTATTGGAGATCAATCTGTTAGTAATTCGTTAAGAAGCGAGATATTGATTGTTGAATATAAAATATAAAATAATTTATTAATGAGAAATATGGAAAGTGAACTTTTTAAGTTTTTATATTGAATAAAGAAATAATAATAATGATTTTTTTTTTCTCGATGTTAATCTATATTCATGTGGAAGGTTAGTGAGATACAGTTAGAGAATTGTGGATTGTTGTCGAAACAAAATGCAAAAGATAAGATTAAAATGTCAGACGAGGATTATTAAATTAAAAAACGTAATTTAAATTTGAAATGAAATGAGAGAATGTGACAGAGGAAGATCCCATTCTATCTTATTTCATTTCTCAAATAAGATTTTTGTATATCAACTTTTTTTGTTTTGATCTTTATAATCAACCCTCTTATAATATAATATATTAACATCAATGTACAAATATAAGATTTATCAAAATTAAATTAATTGCCTTCAAGATATATGCTCACTTTTGACTTTCATTTCATTACTGTATTGTATCAGGGACATGAAAAAGATCTGGGTAGAAGAAATTATGATTGAAAAAAAAAATATTTAAAAAAATCTTTGAAAACAATTTCTTCTCATACGATATAATAACTAACATACTTAACTTAATTATATTATTTAATTTATTATTTAATTAATAACTTAATTATATTAATTAATAATGAAAAAATATATATTTACATTTTTTAACTCGATTACCAAACATCAGTTTTGTATCTAAAACAATGACAAAAAATAAAGGAATCAAAATGAGGATAGACATATAAAGCATAATAATAATATTAATTGATTAGCAGTGAATAAATTGAAAGATAAAAAAATTATAAAAACACAGGTGAACCGGAACGATAATATAAAGAGGCTCGAGACGATGAAAATTTCAACGAAACCAATGTCCTCGAAGACGGTAGAGCGAAGTGAGTGCCAGCTGGTGCGCTCACCGAATCCAGAGGAACCGGAACTCGTCGTTCCGTACACGAATCCTGGCAAAACGAAAACGCAAGAAGAATCAAAATTACCTTTAAGCATCAGCATCAAGACTGACACGAAGGACAGTGAAATAGTGAAGTTATGTAGAAGCAAGAGGATCACTTGTCAGGATACCATACACGAGTACGACGAGGATGATGGACTCACTATGGAAAAAGTTGGAAGGTAAATAAAAATATTTTATTCTTCTTCTGTAATTTCTTGTTACTACTAATATTAAAATTAAATCAATCATCATTGTACCGTTATTTGGCCTTTTATTGTACATGCCTTGAATAATTGTTTGAAATATAATTTTTCAATATAATCACGTTATGTAAAAAATAGTAATTGTAACAGTTTTTGTAATTGTAACAGTGTCTACATAATCCTTGTTACATAATCTTTGATAAAGATTATTTTAAAAGTTAGAAATATTTTAAATATATTAAATATTTTAAGGATGTAACATGAAACAAGTTTGCAGCCACTACAAGCTGTAATATTTTAAAAGTTGGAAAACATATTCAAATCTTTTTAGTATAAAAAAATAGTTCCTTTTTTTTCAATTTATATACAAATAGAAATATATTGGCTATAAAAATGTCGAGCAGTATAGAAATATTCTCAAAAAGAAAAAGTTACTTAAAAAATAACATTATATAATCCCGGACAAAAGAAATATCAATAAACACGTTCCAAAATTAAAATTATATTAAACAAGATCCCCTTATTTTGATATGTGCAATTTTCCACATGAAAAAAAAGAACAGGCTTGAACAATGATCAGACATATGAAACAATTTCAATTCCTTGCTTAATAAACAACATTGTTATCCTCTATCAATCACAATTTTTCGAAAAAGATACCTCGAAGCGCATCCGGACGCTGCAGAGGCCTGGTTCCGTGAAAACGCGAGCCTCGACCTTCGTCAAAGGCTTCAAGGTATGGCCGTGGTTCAAGCGAAATCACCGTTGAAAAATATACATCAGGAGGAGAATCTCCTGAGCAGAAGCAAACGTAACAGCGTGACATCTGATCTGTTCCAAAGCTGGCTGGCTTCCAGTTCACCAGCCAAGCGCAGTAAAAGTCCCAGCAGGTAAATTACTTTTAAAAATCTTGGTAAAATTGTATTCACATGGACTATAAATATTTTATAAAGATAAACAACGATATTTTGTTCATTTGATTATAATTTAATTGACAAGAAATGAATTTTCAATTAATGACGTGACATCAAGATAAATATTTTCTCTAATTTTGAGTGAACATTGTTAAGAAGAATAAAGCTATTGCTTCTATCGTGCATGAATTTCTAAGTTGCTGAAGAAAATCTACAATATATACATATATATATATATTGTTATATATTGAGGAATTATTTTTCTTTTTATTTAATATTTTTTTTATTTTTCATTAAAATCTAATATTTATGTATACTAATATTTCTATAAATTGTTGAAATAATTACACATGATATGTTCTGATATAATATTTTTTTTAAGCATTAAAAAAAATAAAAAAATAATTTATTTCCAATAAATTAGTTTATATTTTATATATGATCATATAATATAAGCAAAAAATAATTAAATGGAATATATTTTTCAAATTTAAAATACATATATCGACATCACGTCAGTATTTATAAAAAAAAAAAATTAAAATCAAATTAACTGGAAAATGAATAAAAATGAATAACAAATTTTGAAATGAAAAATTATATATGAATATATCTCAAAAAATGATCATTCTATATATTCTAGGATGTATACCTCGTTGGTAGGACGAAGAGAAGAGCTCAACAGGTTGGATGAAAGTGATTTGTTCATGGAGTTGATCAGAGACGTGGCAAATGAATTGGATATCAATGTTCTCTGTCACAAAATTTTGGTAAACGTCGGCCTGCTTACACACGCCGATCGTGGAAGTCTTTTTTTGGCTAAAGGGCCTTTGGAAGATAGATATTTGGTTGCAAAACTGTTCGATGTTACACAAGACACTGAATTGGAGGAAGCCATTCAAAAAGCGAAGAACGAAGAGATCAAGATTCCTTTTGGAGTTGGAATAGCTGGCTACGTGGCTCAAACTAAAGAAATTATCAACATCAAAGATGCATACAAGGTTTGAAAAAACAAATTAAAAAATAAAAGACATTGGGTTTATTTGTACAAAATTAATTGATTTGTTAACCAATAAATATAAACTATTAGATTGGCTCAATTTATTAATTTTGGACCAAATATAAAAATAGATAAAATTATGAAAGAGATGAAATAAGTGGATATTTGAATGTTTCTTTTTTTTTTTTTAGGATCCAAGGTTCAATAGCTCTATTGACATGAGAACTGGCTATAAAACTACGTTAATTTTATCCATGCCTATATGTAATTACGAAGGAGACGTGATTGGAGTTGCTCAAATTATAAATAAGACTAATGGTAGCAATGAGTTTACTGATAGAGACGTCGAGGTGTTCCAGAGGTTAGTAGACAACTAACCATTTGAAGAACGGTAAACATTTTCTATCATAGTTTATAAATAGAATCTATATATCGAAGATCATAAGCTTAAAGAAATCTATTGTAAATTAGGAATTAGAAGTGGAAAAATCAAAAATATATATGTAAAACTAATTCCAGGTACTTAACATTTTGCGGGATTGGGATACAAAATGCGCAATTATTCGAGCTCTCCGTGCAAGAATATCGCAGGAACCAGATTCTTCTAAACTTAGCCAGAAACATATTCGAAGAGCAGAACAATCTCGAGTGTCTGGTCACGAAGATCATGACTGAAGCGAAGGAACTTCTAAAATGCGAAAGATGCGCCGTGTATCTTCTGGATCTTGACTGCGGCGAGGCAGTAAGTTCATTTCGATCAACAACCTCAGATAACAACTAAAATTAAAGAAGAAATTTATCAGTGTTTCTAATTTGATCTGTACTTAAACTGGTGTTAAATAGCAATAGAATAATAAAGCTGTGGAGGATTTCTCGAGCCCTTTGAAGGGTCGGCGAGGGACGTAATAAGAGATTCTAAGTTTCATTTCAGGGACACCTCGAAAAAATCGTCGAACGGCCGGGAAAATCGATGCAAGAGAGCCGGAAACCGCTTTCGAGGAGAGAGGTGAGTGACACCGGCACGTGTTACTCAAGTTCGTAAGTCTGATGATCTTTTTCTTCTTTCCTGGCGGCTCAGAGTAACAACATCGAGATGGAGGATATTTTCCAACAGCATGTAAGTACATTTCTGAAAAAATCAAATTGATTACTATACATATACATAATCCTACATGCCAATATTGAATTAGAAATATCTTAACTACAAAAATGAGTATAGAAAATTGAATTCTGTTTATATAAAGTTATAAATAGATTTATATAATTTGAGTTTACTTAATTCTCTCCATTATGAATTCTGTGGAGAAAGAAATATTTTGTCTAAACCTATAATCAAGCATTACAAATTTTGAAAACAATATTACAAAAAATAATTTTACTAGTAGCTTAATAAAGTAATTTTTAATTTAAGTATTAATAATGAATTTATTTAATTTTAGAATATTAATGAATTAATTAATTGATTATTTTATATACTTATATATTAATTATTAAAATTTTTCTCCCTATATAAATGGAATTTGTATAAACAGAGTTCTACTGTATATAAGTAGAATTTAGATAGTCCACAAAAAAGAATTTTATTGGCATCTTAAATTTTAATTTCCTATAATAGTATGATTTTTAATTTTTTCATTTTACATCGAAATCCCTCTATTTTGTATGAATATTTCCCAGGCGACGAACGATGGAAATAAATTCACCACGATCTTCGAGATGGACAACGAAACACAGAAAGCCAAAGTGTACAGACCCAGTGCAAGTGATTTATCGAATCCATTGAGCCAAATTGCGAGGTACGTCGCAGCTACGGGTCAAATTTTGAACATCGGTGACGTGACCACGTGGCTGAAGAAGGACGTCGTTCAGGCCGGAAGCGACCCTATCAAGAGCATTCTCTGCATGCCTATAGTTAATGGACAGAGAAACGTGATCGGTGTTGCTCAATTAATCAACAAGGTTAAGATTTACTTCTTATGATAAAAACATGTTCAATATTCCAAAAATTCAAGATTTTTAGATTAATTATATTCTATATTATCAATCAAATTTTGATATTCATCATAGTAATTCATTTTTCATGATATAAAATCACAAATATTATACACAATAATTTGAAGAATATAATAGGCAATCCAAAATAGATCATTTTAATATTCAAAATCTTAAAACTCTACATTACATTAATTTATTAATTTTGATGAGATAAGATGATATAAGAATCAAAAGAAACTTATCTACAATATTAAAAATTTCAAAAATGTTCTCATTACACATTAGAAACTGGATTATCCAGAACAGAGCCCTTTGATATTTCAAAACTCGATAATTCACAGAATAATTATTAATATACTGATACACATCTAACACGTGCGAATCATTCAACAGGATAATGGAACATCATTCACGGATTCCGACGTATCGATTTTCGAAGCTTTCGCCATTTTTTGCGGCCTTGGTATTCATAATACCCAAATGTACGAGTCAGCATGCAAGCTGATGGCCAAACAAAAGGTTGCTCTCGAATGTCTGAGTTATCACGCGACGGCAAGCAACGACGATACGTTAAAATTAACCTCAGAACCGATACCGTCCGCGGAATCCTACAATCTGTACAGTTTCACATTTATCGACTTCGATTTGACCGATGAGGACACTTGTAGAGCTACCATTAGGATGTTCAAACAATGCGATCTGATACAAAAATTTCATATCCCTTACGAAGTTCTATGCAGATGGATTCTCAGTGTAAAGAAGAATTATAGGTGAGAAATATACACTGAAAATAGATATGTTTCAAAAACAGATACATCTAGCTTTCCTTATATAGTATGTAAAAAAAAGCCATGTAACAATTAATCTAATGCATTATTAATTTAAATTAGAATAAAGTAAATTAATATACAAAAAGTAACTTAAAATATAGAAATATATATATTTGATAAAAAAAAAAATTTTGTTTTATGAAGATATAAAAGAAAAGTTGTGCTTTGAAAAATTGTGAAACCATGGAATTCATGTTTAAAAATTATTACTATTTGGTACTATTCTACTTGTTTTATATCATAACAAAATCTTTACTCTGTTAACTTTTTATTAATTATTTTTTAAATAATATTGTCAACAAATTCTTATTACAATAATTCATAATAGCGAAGAAAAATCTTAAGTTTTATTTGAAAAATATAATAATTTAATTACTTCTCTTGTCTCTTTTCTAATTTTTAAAAAATAATTAATTGTCACAGTAAATTTGTTTTATGTTTATCCTAATAAAAAATTTAGAAAAGAGTAAAAAATAAATTTTATATGTCTATATTTTAAAATGCCCTGTACCATGAAAATGTTATCCTGACTATTTTTAGGCCAGTCAAGTACCACAATTGGAGACACGCACTGAACGTTGCCCAGACCATGTTCGCCATGCTTAAAACCGGCAAGATGGAGCAGTTCATGACCGATCTTGAAATTCTTGGACTCTTGGTCGCCTGTTTGTGCCATGATTTAGATCATCGAGGAACCAATAACGCGTTTCAAATGAAGACAGAATCACCATTGGCCATTCTTTATTCGACCAGCACTATGGAACATCATCATTTTGATCAGTGTGTCATGATCCTGAATTCGGATAGTAATAACATCTTCCAGAGTTTGTCTATGGAGGACTATAGAAGAGTGATGAAGGTGGTCGAGAGTGCTATACTTTCCACAGATTTGGCGGTTTATTTCAAAAAGAAGAACAAGTTCATGGAACTGATTGATGAGGGCGAGTTTGATTGGCAGAGTGAAGAAAAGAAAGAACGTAAGATTAAATAATTATGTATAATTACTATAAAAGCTAGAAAAAAGTAAAAGGAATATCTATGTTTGTAATAGATTTAAAATGTTAATATTGGTCAATATAAAAAAAAGCTATAAATTTAAAAGATAAATGATCACCTATAAGATAAATACAAGAAATTTTCATATTATTCTATATCTTACATCTAATTAAATTTCAACCTAATTCTGTCTTTATTTCATATGAAATATAATAGCTACATTTAATTAGTCTACATTTAATTATTTTTCTACACTCACAGTTAAACTAAATCTAATAAATAACTTATCTCACTATTAAATCTAATAATTGATATATATATCTATCTATTAATATAAATCTAACACTTGTGTTTGTTGAATTTATATTAAATAAATTTTACTTCCACAATCATTTTCCTATACCAATAATAAAATCAATTCTTGATCAAATAATTGGCCGTCTCTGAGACATTAATGACTCATTAATGTTAAGAAAATATTTAACTTTACCTTTAAAAATAACTTAAATAGAAATTCGAATCTTTTCCAAAAATGTTCTTTTCTTCCAGTATTATGCGGAATGATGATGACGGCCTGCGACGTGAGCGCCATAGCAAAACCCTGGGAGGTACAACACAGGGTGGCCAAGCTAGTCGCCGACGAATTCTTCGATCAGGGTGATCTGGAACGTCTCCAACTGAACCAACAACCAGTGGCCATGATGGATCGCGAAAGGAAGGACGAACTTCCTCAAATGCAAGTCGGTTTCATCGACGTCATATGTCTGCCTCTCTACAAAGTTCTCTCCGACACTTTCCCATGGATCATGCCACTCTACGAGGGCACCATGGAGAACAGACAACACTGGCAAGATCTAGCTGAAAAAGTCGAAATGGGTCTGACCTGGATAGATCGTGACACCATCGACGAACCAGTCGAAGAATTCATCTCCTATGAACGCAAAGACATCGAATTCACGGTCACAACCTTGAACTGCATGGACAAAAAAGAAGTCCCTGAGAAATCCGCGTTGAGCAGACTTATCTCTCTAAGGAAAGGTGGTCCTACTCTAGGCAAAGATGTAAGACACAAACTTAGCAGGCCACTTTACACGAGAAACGCTCCAGAGGACGCTGCCAAATCCAAGGCCCTGATCCCTGACAGGAAGAGTAGAAATAAATTGTGTTTGCTCATTTGACGGCTTACGTCCACCACTCTTGAGAGCATACCTGAATGATGAAAAGGAAGATGAGAGATCTCATGGAGAAATTTGTGTGATTAGCATCTGATGCAAATATGTTATTGCCTACTGGTTAGCTAACTTTATAAGGTTGTAACTAGTAAAGATCAAAGTGGATTGGAAAGAAGGATTACCTGTACTGTGAGATTCATCAGGAAGATTTCAAAGGATGTAAATTCATGGGAAGTACAATGACTGTACAGTGAAGAGGAAAGTGCATCCGAGTTGCAGCTTGGAATGAGTCGATAATGAAATGATACAAGGTGTGATTTATCTACTGTGATTGCTGTCCATCTGCCTAGAAAATCAAAAGTCAAGAAAGTGAAATCAAACGTTTGTTCGAATAAACGAAGATACATTTAAGGGTCATCGAATCGAAGGCTGAAAGATTTTGCAGATTTTAATCCCAAGACTGTCGTCGAGTCTTTAGAAAACACGTTAGACGATTAGTCAATGGCTAGTTAGTTAGACTGGCGATAAGTTAGGCGACCTTTGTCGAATTTTACCGTGGAGGAGAGAAAGAGAAGAAAAAAGAAAGAGAAATTGAAAGAGTAATGTCAGCGATGGTTGCACGGATTCAATTTTGACAATCTTTTTTGTATTACATCTCGATACGTTAATTAGGATAATCCGATGGATAAAACTGGTGAAAAATAAAATAAAATGGATATCGAAATTTTTGAAAAAAAAAATACAGCCGAAAGATGGGCATTTTTATATATTAATGAAAAAAGGAAGAAGAAAAATAAAGAAAAATATGATGCAAATTTATAAAAAAAAAAAAGAAAAAAAAAAAAAAAAGAGTATAAAACTCTTGGACTCTCGATGATACATCGTATTTCTATCCCACTCGTTTCCAAGATGACGCGTGGAATCAATCGACGACATTAACGAATGATAACCAAGGTAAATCAATGCCTATTAAATTAACGATTTCGTTGCATCATTCAAGCCAATCCAAAAATTGCGTCTCTGACGCAGAAAATGATCACGCGATCTCGCATTCTTGGAATTAAAAGATGTTATTTTGTTTCTCTATCTTTTTTTTCTTTTTTTTTTTTTTTTTTCCTCTTTTTCTCTTCTTCTTTCTTTACACGGATCTTTACAGAAATTGACGTATTCTTTTTTTTTTTTTTCTATTTTTCTGTTATTTGATTAATATCCATAGAAGGAAAAGATGAGAAAAAAAAATACATTAAAAAATCCAAAGAATCTTCTGTTTGATTACTAATTTTTAACTTATTCATGATGAAGTAATAATAGATAAAATTTTGCCATGAATAGCATTTTACAAAAACAGGTATTTTCTTGGTGAAACAAGAAGACGCAAGCGAGATACGTGATATAAATAAATAGTATGTACAAGAATCAATTAATATTCAAGATAATTCGAGAGTGCTGTGTTTAAAAAAAAAAAACATGAGAACATGAGAATCCATTGTAACAAGAGTGAAACTGGTTTCTAGTCTTTTGATATAGCTACTATGTATGAAAAATATGCCTGTCAAAGACTATCGCACACGACTAAATAAAATCTGAATGTGCTCAAAACGTTAAATAATTGAACTATTTTTTTCTTCTTTTCTTTTTCTCTTTTCCCTTTTTTTCTATTTTTTTCTATATTCCTATATCCTGAGAAAAACAGAAATTTTTTTAAATATTTTAAGGATTAAATTAAAAAATTAAATTACAAAACAAATATATTAAATTCTAATAAAATAGGAGTATTATTAAATTTATAACATTCATACTTAACATTCACACTTTCTGATGAATAAAAATTTCACTTTTTTTTTTTTTTTTTTCAATTTCAATTTGCATTTTTAATCTTCGGTGACTATCATAGATCGTCAATAACACTCACAAAAAAATGTCCATTTTCATAAACGATTCACTAGTGATCCAATTTTCATTTTCCTTTGATGAATTTCATATCATAGATTACCGATAATCCATGAAATAATTTGCATTTTCGTTCACTATTATGGTTCACTAATGATCCATGAAGAAAATTTCATCTTCGAAGACTGCAATTGTAATAGATCATCAATGATTCACAAAAGAATTTTCATCTTTGAATCAACGATTATTGTGGGCCAACAGTAGTTGAAAAATTTTATTTTCAATTATATTATTTCGATTCACTGATGACCCACAACAACATAAAATTAGATTAAAATCACCTTTATTCAATTTCGAAGAGTAGTCCTTTAGCTCCGTGATTTTTTACGCAGCTTTTTATTATTAAAACATTTAGAAATTACACTCGAACGACGGTGTCCTTTACACAGTAACGAATCATCAAACGTTTTTTGGTCCTACAATTAAATTAAGTATAATAAACGGTTTCTTTTATCTCTTCATCGTTCTTCTTTCGATATTCCGTGTGTTGACGATTAATTCTCTATTTACAATATTATGCAATATTCGATTGCATAAGAAAAAAGAAAGAAAGAGGAGCCTGACACACGTAACACTACGACACTGTTCGACAATTATCTTTTTCTTTTTTATTTATTTTTTTTTTTTTTTCAAGAGAGGAAAATGTGTTGAAATTGAAATTTTCAATCTCCATTCGTTCACTTAATAAAACACAAACAAAAGTAAATGTCGAGGCAGTGGCGCGGCTATTTGGCAAGACTCTTTCACTTTGTCGTACAATAATGTAGAGCAGGCTCCATTTATGATCATCGTGATCAAGGACAAAACCGAATTACCTTAGACGTAGTAAAAAATGAATCTTTCCTCTCTTTGTCACGCAGATAAATATATCTTGGCATTCATACACAATTGTTGAAACATCTGACGTGAAAAAAAAAAAAAAAAAAAGAAAAGAAAAGAAAAGAAAAGAGAAAGAAAGATATCATTCGTAATCAACGTCGTAAAGAAGAAAAGTTTCGTGGCTTGTCGATTGAGATCAATATCGTTCCCTTAAAACGAATATACAAATGGAAAATGATCCATGAGAAAATCAAGCACACGGTTGCAAAGAATATATTTGAGAAGAAAATTCTTTAAGTCTCACGCGGTTCGTAGAAAAATATAAAATAAAAAGGATCACGCATACGATGTAATATAATTATGTACAAAACTAGCACCTATACATCGAAAAGGTGCATGAACACACACGTTTCATCCTTGATCACAATGTTCTCGCACCGTCACATTGATTCATAATACAATATAATCTACATTTTAATAATCACCTCTTTAATAATTCTTTAAATCCTTATTCTCTTCTTCTTTTTTTTTTCTCTTCCTCTTTTTTCCTTTTCTTTCCGTTTTTTTTTTTTTGTATAATTTTTTTCCTTTAGCCAATCCAACGGAGATTTCTCAACGTAAATACTTTGTGCCAGTAAATTTCCATTTAATTAATTCGATTGATCAATTGTTCCAATGAGGTGTTCCAACACGGCAAGTAAATCTCCCTGGGGATCGTGACGATGTGTATTCATAGGTATAATATGAATCAAATTCATGAGATATGGTTGTGGAACAGAAGCATCGTGGAAGATACAACGCGGAGAATAGTTTAAGCTTAACGAAGTTCAACGAAGCGTTCGAAACTTATATTGACGCGAATAAATGTTTTTCAGTACTTGACGATGATGATGAATCAAATTCGAGACCAAATTAAAAATTCCGATAATATTTAATCGGAAATGGAACTCCAATTTGACTCACATATGTCGTCTATTAAATGCAGATGACGATAAAGTCTTTAAACGAACGGTAAAAAACTTTTTTAAACGTTTACTCGATGTACAAAAGAACCTGAGTTTGTATAAAATTTATATATATATATATATAAAGTTTCTAATTTCCATTTTTAATGGATAAAACGTGTAGTTGTTCTCGATAATAATACGCGCTCAGATTCTTCTTATCGATCGTTTACACTGGTATACTTATATGCATTAGAAAATTGAACTTATATAAAACATGGCGTTGGTACGCGTCCACGATTTGTCCGAACTCAGTACGTGGACAATATAGATACAATATAGTTTTAATTGATCAAAAAACATACATGCAAAGAAAAAATAATCGTGTTCTTATTTGCAGGCAAATTTTGTGAAAGTGTACATTTTTTTTTATATCATTATTTCACGATTAAAAATTGTAAATGAAATTTCTTATGATTCCACCATATGGAATAAAAAAGATTATTAAGAAGAAAATTCGCTGATCCTTTCCCAAATATATTATATCAAATAAGTCAATTTTTATTCTTAATATTTAATAAAGAGACCATTGCATGTATGTTTACACAGCTATTCACTGTAAACCGTTTTCTTGTTTTACTCTGTGAATCTCTATAAAATTCATATTACACAAACTAAATTGTAAAATAGGATCAGAGATTGAACAAAATTTATGTCCAGAGACACTCATCAGCTCATATAGGTTTTGCAATCCTAGCAAAGTGGCAGAAGTGCGTGGATCACATAAAGAATTCCCTGGATCGGCTAATGTGCAGTCACGATGCAGGTCTATCCAGTATTGAAATTTCTATTAGCCTAAGACCACGCATTGCTGGATCTGTTAATAACAGACCACGTGGTTTATAGACTCTGTCATTTTGTTCACAAACAAACTTTGCCACTTTTCTTAAACACTTTTCATAATGAGTCTCTGTGCATATATAAATTAGATAACCAGTGAGGCATGCCAGGCAACCTTCGCAGTATGTAGAACAACTGGCACGTTCAGCTTCTGCGAAGTAGTTGTTCAACTGATTGATTGTATACTCGAACGACTGTCTGTCCAGCTAAATTGAAAAATAAGATAGCAAAAATATATCCAATAAATATAAATTGATAAATTAATTCATTCATTGCCTAATTCACTCATAAAAAATTAAATCAATAAAATATATTATTATTTCTGCAACTCTTGATCCTATAATATATGTAAATAAAGAATAAGAATAAGATATATAAGAAAATTCTGTATATTTAACCACAGAAATAATGTTAGAAATAGAAATATTTCATTAACAATTATAATTAAACAAAAAATATATATATATTTATATTTTCCAATAATTTGTTTTATAAATAAAAAAAAAGATAAATAGATTTTTTGAATACATACTCTGCTCTCCAATTCCGGAGGAAATTGCGTTTGAAACTTAACAACAGTGCCTTCACTATAGTCACGTTGTATAAAAATTTTCTGACAACTCGGAGGAGGCCCCCCACCTGCTTGTCCTCGACCAGCTGACATGTCCTCCAGGGGTGTAAGGGCAGCGTGATTGCCCTATAAAACAAATCCAATAAATATTTTATTAAATTTTCTACAAATCAACTTAGAATTAACATTGTAACTATTTGTCTTACATTTCTTTCTTTTATTTTATCTGATTTCGAACATGGTCCATGTATATAACCACAAAACCGCACCCAACTATTATATTCAAAATTGTTTATCATGAATCCGTCTGTTATTAATCATATGATAAAAAAATTCGAAATGACAATATTCGAATTCAAAACAAATGGAATATCAAAAAAAATGACGAAACAAGAATATACCGCAGATAGACCAATAGTAAAAGAAAGAAAGAAAAACCGAGGTAAAAGATGCATAAACTTACCAATGGCATTTTAAGCTTCGTCTTGGCGATTTGATAGAACAGGTTTGTCGAAAATTAACTTCGACTTGTTAGTCGAACGTAAAACGAAAGAATAAAACACGACTGATCACTAAATGTTGAATTTTTCTTGAAAAATCACAGAGGACAGTACTTTGACTGACGGACTACGACACGATACCACCGCCATGAAATGTACGTGCGCAATGTATGAAATTGAAATATACAATTTACTTAATAATTATAATATATTTCTAAAATCTGTCAATTATTTAATTATCTTTTATTGATATCAAATATTTTAAGCATAATTATAATTAATATTATCATCTAATGTTTCTGTTTTTTTTAATTTATTATTTTCAATTATATCCATTTTTCATATATTTTAATNTATATATATATTTTTAAACTTTTAGACTTTTAAATTTTTTTAAATCTAAATTTATTAAAAATTATTGAAATATAGCAGGACGTACAAATAAATGTCATATATTTCAATAATATATTCAATATTTTTCGATTTCTAGAATAAGTTTCCAATTTTTATTATTTTTAACGCATAAAATTTAGGCTTAAAAATAATTTGAAACTAATTTAAAACTAATTTAAACTAAATATTTCCTGTTTTACTAATTATAAGTAATTTTCGAAAATTATACAATTTATAGACATTGAAACACCATCTAGCGATGAACAGATCAAATTAATTATCTATTAGCAAAATAAAATCCAAAAGTCTCGCTATTAAATTAAATTTTTTAATTTTTATAAATTTCAATAAAAAAACATAGTTTTTCAATAATAATTTAAAATGAACTTTAAACATTTTTATTAATATTTTGCATTGTAAATTTATTTGCCATATCAATTTTTAATAACAATAGTTACATTTAGATGGCGCTATAATGTCCATTAGCTAATTTATATTTGTAAATTTGTTTCTTAGATGTAAATTCATCGAATGAAATTTTATTGAAACTTGATCGACTATTTATATTTTTTAATCAACAATTTTATTAAAAATTTGAAACTTGAGAATAATAATGTTCACTAATCGGTCTCTTGAAGCCGTGAGTTTCAATTCACAATTATCTACTACAAAGTATGTATGTATAAATATATTTATATTTTTAAGTAAATTCATAATTCTTTCATTAATATTATTATTATATATAATTTAATATCTTTTAGATCACAACAATCTACAAATATTCAAACAACAGAAATTGTTTATGATCAGAATTCTGTACAAACAATCGAAACAAGAAATGTTGAGGTACATTTATAAATAAATTATAAGTATATAAAAATAAAATTTAACTTTTTTAATTTTATATTTTTTAGACTCAAACTATATCTGAAGAAAAAAAAAAGCCAGAAATAAACTATGAAAGATTGGCCCAGTTTTTAAATCGGGTTACACCAAGTATATTAGAAGCATTAGATGAATCTTATGGAACCAATGCATTTGAAGATTATGAACCAAAAACTTCAGAAGATTCATTCACAAGTACACAACTTTTACAAAAAATTAATAGCACTGAAGCAAATTCTCAGGTATTCATTATTTTTTAAGAGTATTATTATTTTTGCTTATTATCATTAAAATACTGATGTTACTATTTCAAAATATTTTTAGATGAAAGTAAGTGATATGAGTTGGAGTATTGGAGGAGGAACATTAGCTGTATCTTATGGTATTCCTTATCACCAAGCATGGTGTGATCATTTATCCAAAATACAATTATATAATCAAATGAAAGAGGGCCATTTCACAAATAATCCAAATAAAACACTAGAAACTAATGCCTGTGTAACAACATTGGTTTATCATCCAACTGAACCATCTATTATAGCAATTGGTTTATTCAATGGTAATTTGTAAAATTTTCATATATAAATAAATGTATACATTTATAAAGTAAAAAAATTATTGTCAATATTATTTATACAAAGGTGATGTTCTTGTATGGAATTTAAAGGATGATACATCAATTGCACCAACAACAATTTGTACTCATGGAGATTGTGTATCTCAAGTATATTGGAAAGGAAGAACTATAAATGATGTATCACTGTTGGTGAGTTCCAGCAAAGATGGATATATTTTTATTCATAAAATGATGGCCAATTTTACAATTGCTCGCATTTATAAACGGTAATTTCTTTAAAATTTCTGTATTAATATATTCTTAAAAGCATTTATAAGGATATTATTTTTTTAGATTAAAAATAGCCAAAGAACATAATCCAATAGAAAACTCAAGACCACGTAGCGCAGGTGGAACACGCGAACGCGCAATAGAATCTGGATTATGCATTACCACTTTTGATTTTTCATCCAGAGATCCAATATTTTTTATTGTGGGTACCTTATGTGGTGGAATTTATAAATGTAGTTTAGATCGTGTCGTTCCTATCGAAAGTATGAATTTTTCTGAAATGAATTTAATGAATTATTAAAAACTATATCCATATTGGAATCAATCATTTTTTTATTTTAGATGATGAAACTTTAATAGATCCTGTAATAGATGAATACGAAAGGCATGAAGGTAGCATTACGTGTATTAAATGTTCGCCAATACGTAATCTTTTCGTTTCTGCTAGCACAGACAAAGAAATTCGTATATATGATTTTGAAGAGGTGATAATTTTTTTTTTATATATTTTTTTTATAATATAATAATTAAAATAAAAAATATATATAATTATTTATATATTAAATGCTATAATACTATAATAATATAATGCTATAACAAAAATTTGCATATCTAGCATACAAGTCTGCAGTCAATTCCTTGTGAAAATACAATCATAGGTTTAACTTGGATGATTGGAAATCAAGATATATTGGCAACTTATGGCGCTAGTTCGAAAATTATATTATACAATGTTACAGATGGTACAATCGTAACAAATGTGAATTTAGAAACAATTGATAGAGAAAACACTAGTTGCTTACGCGTGAATTTAAAGAGGTAAATATTAGTAATAGTATAATAAGTAAATATTAATAATGTATATATTTGAGCAGATTTATTAATCTCTTATTTATTATACATAGAGATATAGTGGCTGTTGGAGATACACAAGGAAATATAGAGATCTGGAAAATCCCAAGACAATTATTGTAAATATAATGTATACATTAACTTTTTTCATTTTTTAAATATTATATTACTAATATTATTATCTTATAATCAGCTTCAAAATATGTATTTATTATATAATAAAATATATTACTTTTATATAATAAAACAAATAAAACAAATCTTAAAATATATTAATTATTCTTTTAATTTTTCTTATTAAATGTAATAATATTTGCAAAATTAGACATAATATTAGCTAACATATGATTATTATATCATATTTCATTATTTAAATATTGTAACATGCTTCAAAATAAATTTCATTGTATAAAAATAGCTTGATAAATTCATTGCGAAAATATATGAAAGTAATAGTTGTTTGTAATTCTGGCACATTTTGGCACATAGTTCAGACATATGTAAAATATTATTCATTTAAAATAAAATTAAAATACTAAATTTATCACATCAAGAACCTAACCTAATCAACTTTCAGTTGTACTTATTATATAATACTAAATTTATCACATTAAGAATCTAATCTAATCAACTTTTATTTTTATTTATTATATATAAAAATAATTTTTAAAAATGTTAATGTATACATATATATATATATATATATTTTTATAATACAATTTTGCAAAAATAAAAAATCATTTTAATATAGAAAATAGAAAAAGGATTAAATAAATATTTTATATATTTATATTTGAATACATATATTTGAATTTATTAACATCATAAGTTTTTAAAATAATAATGATATTTCCTTTTGGGATAATGTTATATTTTGATTATTCGTCTATTTCATAGACATCACTATTATACAAATATTAAAATTCAAAACAAATTAACATAAGATACAATATGTACATATAATTAAATATATATAAATTTTATGATTTACATCTTTTATTTAAAAATATGATTCTCAATATTTAACGATTTATTTTTTACATATAAATTCAAAATATGTAAAAATATATGAAGAGAAAAAAGAAAATATAAAAAATACTATTTATTATAAAAAAAATATATTACTAAAAAGTATTTAAAAAACTATTAAATTAGCTGATTGAATAAATACTTCTTCGATTTTATAATAAACTTCTTACTTCATTGAAAACACAATACTTCCGCCATCTTAGTGGAAAAAACATACTGAAGTCATACTGAAAAATAAAACAAATATAATCTAAATATCGTTATATTGAATTTACCATGAATTGTTACCATTTTTAATATTTTTCATTAATATTTCTATTTTTTTTATGTATAATAAAGAGATCATATTCATACATAATTAATCCTGTAAGTTCATAATATGAAACAAATTGATTAAATTCATTTTATAATTTTATTAAATTTATTTATACCATTTCATTTCGAAAATCATATTTGATATATTTTATAATTAAATATTTAAATTTTAAAAAATTAGAAAACTTTTCATTATATTATGTTTAAAAATGATTTCAATAATATTTTTCATAAAATACATATAAAAATCAAATTTCATAAAAATCATAATCTTTTTTTTTTAGTTATATTTTATAAAATATACAAAATATATAATATATAAAGAAATTGTAAAACTCATTTACTTTTCTAATGAAACAAAACACATTTAAACTTTCTGAACGTCTATAATGTTTTCTTACTTTTATGACTTCCTTTTCATATAGATATACTTGTAAATATTGTAAATATGTTAAATGATACTTTAGCAAATACTATAATAAATGGGCAATTAACTTCAAACATTATGCTAGTTGAGTATACATACCCTATAATACAGCAGAAAAAAAGAATCCAACAATATCACAATAAAATGCAGAACAGTACATTAATAATTCAGGTACTTTCAATATTTCAGCAACATATATAACAATCCTGAAAAGGATTATTATACTTTGTAGAATCTTTTCCTGAAAACAACTTTTAGAATTAATTCCAAAATGAATAATTTTGTATTTTTGCCTTGAAAAGGACGGTTTTAAATTTTTGTCCTGAAAAGGACAGATTTCTTGTGCATGTTTAGTCCATCCGAGAAATTGCTACTCCATACATGAGGCATTTGCGGGCCCTGAGAAGGGCCCTAAAGAAAAAAAAAAGGATAGTAAAGTGAAAATGTGGACGGGATATGAGCAACATGTAAAATATAGTATAAGACAGGAACAGGGATAATATTATCATCAAAAAATGTTTACGAATAAAGCTGAATGCTTTTTTGTGACATACATTTTCGGCCAGTAGTTTTCATTATTATGAAAAGGAAAGGATGGTGAAAGTGTAATATTAAGGAAAAAGAAATAAAAAAGAATAAGTAGAAAAAAGACAGGATGCCAAAAAACATTAAAAATTTTCTCTCGTTGCTCTATTTCTTCTTCTTCTTCTTCTTCTTCTTCTTCTTTTAGTTTTTCTTTGAAAGGAGCAGATTCATTTACACTCTAGATGATTATGAAAAAAACTTTAATTATGACGTGTTTATATACACGTATGTATATGTCTTTTGAAAAATGGTAAATGATGTACAATTATTGAAAAAATTTTCAGGCGTTTGGTCATCAATTTTCTTTTTCACTTTCTGAATATTATTTCTTTTTCATTCAGTTTCTTGAAGGTTTTCGCACTTCTGCGTTTACTTCCATTAATATATGCCGTGACATACAGATAGCAACGATGATAGTAATAAACATGTGCGTCCAGTGTTTATTCAATTTGAATTTTGCACACGTGACTCACAAATTTTTTTTTTAAGATTAAATCTCTTAGTCTGCTTCTTTCGTTTTTTTTTCCTTATGTACATACGTGTGTATATATGAATTATGTATGTATGTATGTATGTGTATGCGCGTGTGTAATAGTTGTGCTGTACTGAAATATTTTTCAATGAAGTCAAGTCTGACTTTTATTTCACGAATCGCCTCAAAAATTTATTTTTATCATGCTACAAAAAAAGATCCTCGCAATCCTTGTCTTTATATATATGAAAGAAGATCCAAGAATCTTCTCTTTTTCTTTTCATCTAAGTTTTCTGCTCGATTCATCTTTGAGCTACCTCGGCGATTATTGCACACCAATATTTTTTAAAGCCATATTTACTTTCTCTCCCGATACCATGTTTCCTTACTATTCCTAAATCCCTTTATTAAGCTTCTCCATTGTTGATATTTTCTTATTTTTATTTTCAATCATCCTTCCCACTCGTGCTTTCTCACACACACTCCACTGGTTTTATATATTGATTTTTTTTTGGTGCTTTTTGTTCTCAAAAAGACATTTTTTCTGATGGTTTTTTAGAAATCCTCTCATCACATCCGCTCCAACCTCGCTCAGAGGTTCTTACTTCTTCATTACCAATCACTCTCACTTTGAAAGACATATTATATATTTCCTCCTTTACTTGTATTAAATCTTCCATTCCGCGGTGCTGCCATTTTACTCTGTTTCATCTTTTAATTTTATTATCGCCGACAATTGCTTCTTTGCATCTTTTTCGTGTTTCTTCATTCTCTTCTCCTCTTCTATTGGTCACGCGCTTATTATAATTTCTTCGAAAAAAAACGCGTGTATATGTACTCGAATAACAGTACCAAAATTACGATATATAAACAATTACGCTTTAGGTACGACTTGGATATATTATCCTTCGCCATATTATTTCTCCAAGTACTTGCTCTTTTTCTCAGTTACGTTCCTTTTCCGGAGGATCATCATCATCGCCGTTCAAGATAATCATCTCGCTACGCCGCAGTTGTTCATCGCTCTAGCGATGGAAACTTCGAGAAGTTTCTTTTTTTTTTTTTTTTCAATAGAAGAAAAAACGGCAAAAAATAATTGTTCCTCTGTCGAACTTCGTATTGTGTGGACGATTATTAAATTATTTATTATATCATCGAAAAAATTTCGAGTCTTTTCCTTATTTACACGAGACAACATATTATGTCCCGTCTATGTATAACTTCCATTTGATTTCGTCTTTCTTTACGAACCCACACACAGTCCTAAGTCCACGTCGAACGCGCAAACACGAGACGATTGTTTCGCCAAGAAAACAACGGGATGCGCGTTGAAAGGTGGCCAATCGATAATCATAATCCATTCTCGTCGATCGCGCCATCGTTAGCTCTCCCGTTATCCCCTTGACTCGGTTTCTTATTCTTCCTCGCTTCTTCTTGGTCCTCTCTTCATTTCCTCTATACTTTGATTCCATTCGAAGAAATTAAAATTCGACGGGAATTGCGTCCAGTCGAAATTCTCTCTCCTCTTCGATATATGTACTGTACATATATCTTTAGTAAAAATAATTTATTGGTGAATAATGCACGCACAATTTAATATGATCTCGAAAGATCATTTTGTTATGAACCGGAATGTACATACTTATGTTTTCTCGGTATACATATTTCTTTTTTTTTATTTTTTTATTTTTTTTTTTTATTTTTTTTTTTAATATGAAAGTGACCAAGTCTATCTCTTCGGAATGATAAAGAAATCTCGTTCTTGCGCGTAACGACAGCATTCATTATCTTGTTTTTCATTGCCACCCTTCTTCTTCATTCCTATTTATTCTTCTTCCTCTTCTTCACTTCTCTTTCTAAACTTGAAGCCGCAGAAAGATCCATATATCGATCGAACAGTTTCATAGGATAACTCGAAAACGTGCGTTTGAAAATGCATAGCAGCCACACACTGTATCCCAAAATGGAATTCTTTTTCTTCATCTCATCGATCAGTCCATTGATTCTTTTTTTTTTTTTTTTTTTACATAACAAAATATTTTTCTCTTTCGCGAGCTCACCACGGGCTCGTGCAAATGAATTTCGATTCACGCATTATGTACAATTGTTCGCGAATCCATTCTTGTTTCTTTTTTTTTTTTTCTTTCTTTCGCTTAGACCCGCTTTTTATCGATTGATCCTCCTCAAGAAAAAAAAAATGTTGCACTCAAAACGGGCACCCTTAATATGATATTTTATAATACATTATTTCTTATGTATGCGCTCGAGTCGAACCTTAAACGTACTGCTTTTGCGTTTTTTTACGTACAATTATAGATATACATTATATAACTCTATTCTTATATACCCTAAAACTTGACAGCAAATTGCATCATGTCCG